CCTCCGCCCACCATCACCTTCCCTCCTCCTTCCCCTCCCCCTCCCCTCGACTCTCCGGGTGTAGGGCGGGCAGGCGGGCGCTGCGGCGGCCGCTGTTGCTTGTTCCTCGGGCCATTTTGCTGTGGAGCGACTGGGAGGAGGAGCCGCCGCGGAGACCCAAGGAGAAGATCTTGAACCGGCAGAGGCGGCGACCGCGCTGGCACCGGGCTTTTCTCGGCCGCGGGGATCTCCGGAGGCTAAGGGAGCGCGGCGTGAGGACCGAAGGAGCCGCGCCCGCTGCGCGGAGCGCCCCTTCCCGCCCCCTGCACCATGAGCTGGGGCACCGAGCTCTGGGTGAGTGAGGGGCTGGGCCCGCAGGGCTGCCAAGGAAGGTGCGAGGCGCGCTGGCTGGGCCGGGCTGCCTGGTGGAGCCGATGGCGCGCGGGTCCTTTTCGCCTCGGCCTGAGGAAGGGGCGCGGGTCCACCTCCCCTCGTCGGCCTTGGCCGGAGCTGGAGAGACGGGCCACACTCGCCCTTCGGAGAAGGGGAGCTGGTGTGGGTCCCTACAACGGCCTGAAGAGGGTGCGCAGTCGTGGATCTGGATCATTCAGCCGACCTGAGAAGGGGGTGCGGCTCTGTCTGAGAAGCTTCAGGACTAGGTCCCCCCGCGGCCTGAGGAGGGGGTGCAGGCCGGCCTCCCTCTTTCCGGCGCCCGGAGGCTAGGATGAGCTCTACCTGGGAACTAGTAAACGGATGCATGTCCCTGCCGTGTTGAGGAGAGGCTACGATGGGGACTTGCAGGACCTCGGATATGGGGGTGTGCAGTATTTGGGCACCCTGGCTGCAAGTTTCTAGGGCTGCTTTCTCTCGGTGAAGGTGCTGGCAGACTGCACTCTCCTCCTGGGGGCGTAATGACCTCAGCGGGTGACTGGTCGGGGTTTTGGGGTTTTGGGGTGCTAGAGTGAGAAGTGATGTCTTCACTCTGGAGGTGACTTTTGACCTGTGGCGGTTTGGGGAGCACTTAATAGATCGGAGGCACAGCTCAGATCCTGAATTTGTTATGGGAAATGTGGCTGTTGGCCCTAAGAGGCAAAGTAATAGGGTGAGGGGGAGACATTCTGTAACTTAATTTCAGGAAGAGGCATTCGCGAGGTACAGCATTCTTTAACCATTCCGAGGTAAGTGTTTGAAATGGGGAGACTGGCGGTGAGGGGCTTTTCCCCTGGTTCCTTTGGGTCTGAGTGTCTCCTTATCTTAGGGCTAGGTAAGCTAGTAACTTTCTGTTTGTTGTTACTAAGTGCTGTCGAGTCAGTTCCGATTTACAGAATCCTGTAAGGGATTTCCAAGGAGCTGTTCGTGGGTTTGAACTGCCGGCCTTGTGGTTCTCAATCCAATGCTGATTCTACAGCGCCACGCCAGAAGTCTTGTGTTTGTTGTGTTTGTTGCTCAGTGCCCTCTAGTCAGTTCTGACTCCTAGCGACTCAGTATAGAGTTTCCGAGGAACGACTGGTGAGTTTGAACCGCCCTTGTGTTTGGAGGTCCCTTATTTCCAGTGCCGAGTGCAAACATTGAATGTGAAGGCCAAACGGGATGTGAAGACAGTTCACAGGCGGTCCCCGAGAGGGAGAAGCCGTGATTGTGGCGTGGATTTTTATTTCAGCCTTCCTGTGGATTCCTGGGGAAATCACTGGACGAGGAATGGATCATGCAATGTCCATGGGGAGGAGTGAAGGAAATCTCAATTATTGCACTGAGATGCTCACAAGATGAGCCATTTCCCAAGATGAACTCTAAAGTGCCTCCCTTAATACCTTTTGGAATTCGATATGTAAAGGGTGTGGAGGAGAAAGTGTAGGGTGGTGGTTGCTATCTGAGCTGAGGCCAAGGAATCTCCTATCAAAATAAGGTTAGAACAGTTATAAAAAAGAGAGCGCATCCTCCATTATTATTTTTGGAGGCTTTTACCGTTTTTACATAACTATTTCTTAGGCTCAGAAGCAGCTACTGTATACCAAAATCACTAAGGCACCAACAGTTCCTTTAAGTTAAGAGAATCCATTTAATAAACAGCCTCTGTCTAAACAATTCTAGACAAAATGTTGACTGATGTTAACAAATGTTGATTTAAAAAATAAAACAATGGATTTAAAAATATTTGCACATGCCTGATTAGTCAAAATTGACTTAAGTGTTATATTTCTTCTTCTATTTCTCCTTCCTTCCCTTTGACTCTTTTTAGCTTATCTGGGGTGGAGAAGTAATGTTTTATAAAGAAACTAAAAATTTGGCTTACTTTTGTTCACTTGTTCAATCAGGAGAATAGGATTGTGGAGAAAAAGAATGTATTTCTGAATGAAATAGATGTGGCTGAAGGGGACGGAACACGTGGTAGACATTCCACCATGACGCTGGTGAACATTGTAGCTAACCCAACTGAAAGGAGTTAGAAAGAAACTGATAAAGCAGTTTCAGTTTCCTGCAGTGTTCTGTGCACTTCTTTTTAAAGGTGGGAAGGAAGCTAAGGACAGGTTGTTGTTGAAAATAAATGGGGACTGGAAGATTTACAGGTGACTAGATATAAAGTCTTGGATTTGCTTCAGAGTAGTTTGGGGTTGATAGTGCATTTCAAAGTTGGTTTTAACTGCAAGGTTGGCACTTCAAGCTCACTAGCTGTTCCTCGGAAACCCTAAACAAGGTCACTGTGGGTCGGAACCAACTTGATGGCACTGAACAACAAGTGGATTGGGGGAGAATGATGAGACAAAATTGGTCATGAGTTTGGTAATTGTAATAGTTATATGATGGGTACAAGACAGCTCATAATAATACTCTTTCCCCCTATTTGTTTGAAATTTTCTATAACAAAATAATTGGAAATATTTTTTAAGGATGAAATTTGGTGTGTTTTTTTTGGGGGGGTAAGTTTCTAAGAAAGAGTCAGTTAGCAATCAAAATATATACAAATATATGTCAATGATGAGTGTAAGAATGAAGAAGCACATTCCTAGTTGTTGTTAAGTACCATTGAGTCAGTTCCCACTCATAATAACCATGTGTAGGGTTTCCAAGGAGTGGCTGGTGAGTTTGAACCACTGACCCTGTGGTTAGCAGTCCTGTGCTTATTATCCTACAGCAGCACACCAGGACACCTGTCCTGCAAATAGGAGATGGGAATGCAGTGTGTCTGGAGTAGCTTATAGTTTAATAGAGGGAAAGGAATGAACACCTTTATAATAAAAAGACAAGTACAGACTCTGATTATTAAGGTAGATTGCAAAGAATTATAAGGACAGCAAAATGTCTTATTTCCAGTGCCTTATTTTAATTGTGGTATTTGAGGTTTTTTTTTTTAAAAAAAACCTAGAGTAATGAAGGATTTTGAAAAATAAACCCCTAGTTCTCTGGTGGTCAAAGTCTCTGTGCTGCACTGTGCATTGGCAGCCCAGTGGAGGGCAGTGATTGAGGGTTTTCCTTGAGTGGTGGCTTTGGGATCCTGCACATGTATAATGAGCTAATGATGGAGCTAACTTGGCAGAATTGTATTTCTAGATGGAGAGAGACAGAGCTATGGTTTGGGTGGCCATGAATTATTTGTAACAGGTGATTGCAGCTTTTTATGTACCTTCACAAATATTCTACATACATTTTAGAAGTTTAGTCATAGTCCATTTAGGGTTTTAAAACTGCTTTCTAACTTGCACTTTACATTAAAGGCCTACTCTTAAGCCACATCCTGCATTGTAGAGGGAGTGAAACCTTCTTTTCTTTTTCTTCTCCTTCTCTTCTTCCTCCTCCCTGCCACCATGAGAGTAAACTTCAATATTCTAGGAAAGTTTTTGAGATATCATAAAATGTCATGTAATTATAAAAATGAACTTACAATTTTAAAATGACTGCTAGTTATGTTTGTCATGACTTTATTAGAGTAGTTTATATTTAAATAGAGATTTTTTGTTTTTGTGTCAGAAAGTCATGACAAAGTGTAAGTGGCTGTTTTAAAGTGACTAGATTGTGATTAAATTCTTATTGAACATCTACTGTGTGCAAGACACAGATCTGGGTCTGCTGCAAGTCATGCTTCAGAGATAGTGCAGATTCTGTTAGAGACCACCACAATAAACTAGTATCACAATAAAGTGAATCATATGAATTTGTTTTAACATTTTATTGTGAATTGGGTGAAGGTTTACAGAGCAGATCAGCTTACCATTCAACTATTCATATTTGAAAGTGTATATAGAAGTTCTACTTATACTATACTATAATCTATTAAATATACAACAGCATTAAGAAAAAGTCAGAACTATTGTTACAATTACCAAATGTGACACAGACACATAGTGTGAGCATTTATGGTTGGAAAACTGGTGCCAGTAGACATGCTTGACTCAGGGTTGCTCCCAACCTTCAATTTGTAAAAAATGCAGTATCTGCACAATGCAAACAAACGAGGTATTAATAAGGTGATACTTTGCCTGCATACCAAATGTATCTACTTAGTTCAGTGAAAGCATATAAAGTAGTTCTGCAACATAAGAGGTTTATTTCTTTGTAAAAGTAGACAAAATGTATTCACTCAAACTTTGTTTAAAAGATAATGTTTATATAGTAAATGTGTTACATCGACTTGTTAAAACTGACTGGTCATGGGGGAAATCAGGAAGCAAGAGCTTGCTATATTTGAGTGCTTTTCTTACCTACTTATGTGACAGGAAGTGACAGGTTATCAAAGTGTCAGTTAAACTTTTGTTAATTTACTTATGAGTGTGAAGTCAGAATAAATCCATTGGAAATGTTAGCTTTCTTCATCATTTTTCTACTCTTTTCAGCTAACATTATTCTGTGATAGAGTCTGTTTTAGTTGTCTCTAAGTATCCATTCTTCCATCTTTACTTTTTGCTGTGGTGCCAGTGAGCAATGAAGTAACCCAAAATATGAAAAGAAGGAGCAGAGAGATATGAGTAATTAACATAGTAAGTAGCTACCTGTGTGGCTAATGTGCCTTTTAAAAAACAACAACAGTGGTTTTGGACAATTATAGGCATGTAATAAGCATTCAACAATATATTGAATTGGACACGTTGATGTTGATTGTGGATCGCTCTCTGTCTATGTATATATGTGTATATATATGTGTGTGTGTGTGAGGCACCTTTATTACCTTCTTGTTAATTGTGATTTATAGCAGCCCTATGTATGCAGAGTAGAACTGTATTCCATAGATTTTCAAGGTTGTGATCTTTTGAAAGCAGATTACCAGGCCTGTGCATCTGAGTGGGTTCAAACCACCAGCCTTTTGGCTATTAGTTGAGTGCCTAACTGTGCCACCTAGGGATTATATTTTATCTGTTGTT